CTGGCAGAGGCTGCCCAGGGGGGCTGTGGAGTCTTCTTCTCTGGAGATATTCAACCCCCACCTGGACGATGTCCTGTGCACCCTGCTCTGGGTGAGGCTGCTTGAGCAGGGGGGTGGGACTGGGTGATCCCCCAGAGGGCCTTTCCCACCCCTGCCATCCTGGGATTCTGGGATTCTGTGATCCTGTGAACTGGTGTCTGCCGTCGCTTCAGGTTCCCATCTCCCACCTTGGCTTCTCATGGTGTTTCCAGTTTAAAAACTGAGAGCTGGGGGAGCTCAGTTTGCCACGTCTTTTGGATGTGGAGTGCTTGGGCGTGGACTGGACTGTTTCTGGGGTGGAGGGGACATCCCTGGCTTCTCTGTCACTGGGCCACATGTGCTGGAGGCCGTGCCTTCGAGCTGGGTCACCCAGTGGGGATGGTGGTGGAAAGTCCTTCCCCACAGTGACAGAGCTGACAGTTTGGAAAAGATGCGAGGGGGGTGTGTGTCCTTACCGTGTCTTTGGCTGAGGCGGTGGAGGAGAGGGGCACTTGGAAGGTGTCTAGGTGGTGGCGTGAAGGGAGGACACGGCACAAGACCACATGTGTTTCCTTGTTTTTCCCCTGGAAGCATTCCCGGTGGTAGGCAGAGCGTGGGTCCAGGTCTCGCCATACGTGGGCGGGAGCTGGGGGGCCGGCAGGGAAGGGGGTGAAGCTGGCCGCAATGCTGGCGCTGGGGCTCCAGTGCTGCCAGGAGAGGCGGCAGGGCCATGGGGTGTCTGCAATTCCCCGGGTCTGCTTCTCAGCAGCAGGAGGAAGGGGTGTGAAGGTTTGCCATGCAGCGGAGGAGGACCACGGATGATCCCCATGGCAGCCTGGTGGGGCAGGGCAGCAGAGGCTCTCACTATGGCAGCCTGAGTGAGGCGGCCATCGAAATCCCCCAGGTGGGTGGCTGCGTCGGTCGCCCTCGCGGTCGCACTGCCTGGGGAATCGCTGCTCCCATTGCCCCGCACGCTTTGCTTCCAGCCCAGCGACGCAGCCCTGGACCAGAAGAGCACGGCCAACGTCTTCAATGACGGCTGTACGAGGATAGGTGAGGGACGGAGGCTGCTCTTCGAGGTCGTCTCCTTTCTACCTTGGCGAGAAGACTGGGGCTGGATAGGGCCCACTGGGTTGAGGAGGATGGGGAAAGCCCCTGGTGCTGGTGGCAGCAGGTCCCACTGGCCGTGACTGGTCTGCACCACGTGACCCGTAGGCATCGGACTTCCCCGCCCTGCTCCAGTGCTCAAGCCTTTCCCTCTTGCAAGACAGCCATGCTCCTTGGCTCATGTTAGTAGGAGCTTCTAGCATCCCATCCCCTGTGCTAGAGCACCCAAGGGAGGTGGCAGGTGGCCCCTCTCGGAGCAAGCACCTCCTCCCCTTGGCTCCTTGTTTTAAGCACAAGGCACTGCCCAGCACTGTGAGAGCAGGGGGTCCTGAGGGAAGGGGACACGCAGCTCTGGCATCTGCTGCCCTTCCCAGCCATGGGGTGGGCACGAGCTCCCTTTCCTTGCTGCAGACTTTGTCCTGGTGTGGGAAACCGTCCCCTGGGAGCCAAGCGGGCAGCCAGACAGCCCCAAGAACGGGGGCTCGCGGGAGAGAGCTGCTATCCACAGGACCTGGCGGAAGAGATTTCTGGACAAACTTCTTGCTGCTGGGATCCGCATGGAAAAGGTACCCGGGGACCTGACCTCAAATGCTGCTTCTGGGAGGAGGGGTGCTGTGCCGGGGGGGTCCCTTGCACAGGAGGGGAGCCCGGGCAGCCGAGCTGAAGCGTGGGGTGGGATGTGCTTGTGCTCCTCTCCACGGGGTCAGCTCTGCTGGGCTGATCCACACCAGTGTGGAGCCACCCCAGTGCCTCCCACAGGGACCTGTACTGGTGCCAGCAGCCTCATCTGTGCTGAGGTCCCCTTCTCCCAACAGCACATGACCCGTGTGGAGAAGAAGGTGGTGCATTACCTGCTGCTGAGCGCACCCTGGAGCGTGCTCTGCTACTACGCTGAGGAGCTCCAGCTCCGCGTGCCACTGCAGGTGAGGGGCTGGGGTGCCCAAGGATGGGGGACAGTGCCCCCAGCACTCCGGGGACCCCACTCTG